GCCCCATTTACGGCGATACGTGAAGCCTCGCTGCTGAAAGAACTGAAACACTCAAATATTGTGACGCTGCACGACATTGTGCATACAAGAGAAACGCTGACGTTCGTTTTTGAATATGTGGTAGGTTTTGTCTTTTTATTATTTTTAGTTTTTTTGTAATTTTATTAAAATTAATATAATTTTTTTTCTCTCGTATTTGTCAGAATACCGACTTATCACAGTATATGGAAAAGCATCCTGGCGGTCTGGATCATCGTAACGTACGTTTATTTCTGTTTCAATTGCTGCGCGGCCTCTCCTACTGCCATAAGCGACGCGTCCTGCATCGTGATGTTAAGCCGCAAAATTTATTGATAAGCGATTGTGGTGAATTGAAATTGGCGGACTTCGGTTTGGCGCGCGCAAAAAGTGTTCCCAGTCATACGTATTCGCATGAAGTCGTTACGTTATGGTACCGTCCACCAGGTGAGTGCACGAAGCGAGCACGTCTTGAACGCAATGGTGTGATAACACATTTATGAAATGTGCGTTTTATGTAGTGTCTGCGTGTTTGTATCTTCGTTTTTTTTTTTATTATTTATGAGTGTTGCGACTTATGACTGTGGTTCTCGGGTACATTTATGCCAATATATTGCACTGAATATAAAGCCTTTCACTTCCACATTTCTGTCATCATATTTTCACAATGATAATACATAGTATTTATGTCATAAAATGGAACGTGTCTTCCTGTTCAAGGAGCAGCAAATCTCTAACATTTATAAACATACATACATACCTCCGTATGTAGGTATGTATATTTAATATTTATTTTTCACTTCAGTCACAGTTATTTTTTGATTAGAGATCTTATGCTGAGAGTTACACTCTTACAACCGCAATCAGAGTCGTTTAATGATTACTTAAGGTGTCCCTCAGTAACGATTTAAAATAATTCTCTCTCAGAGTCAGTTAGTGATTCGTTAACGGCATTTAATTGACATTAGAGTTAAGTAAACAAACACTTCTACTTAACTTTTTAGCGAATGATTTTGATTTTTTTTTCAATAAATTTCAATTTCGATAACATTGCTGCAACAGTGGCAATGGCGCTGTGAGCAGAGCACTTTCGTGCCATTCAAGAGATCCCGAGTTCAATCCTCGGCAACGATTTTTTCTTTAATACAATTTTTTTTTTTTAAGTTGTATTGCTTAAAAAATGCATATTTTTTATTTTATTTAATGTTTGGAAACTTTTTTGATTCATATTTTTTCTTTAACTGTCAGTTTCTCAAATTTTTAGTTTTTCCTGGTTTAAAAAAATATTTTCTTCATTCCGTTTAGTTTTTTGAAAACTTATTGCGACGAACTATTGATTGGGCTACAAACCTGCATTTTCAAAAAAATTCTAAAAAATCTGATTAAAAAGTTGAAAATTTTCATGAAAATTTTCGCGGTAGTTTTGCACAAAGTTTAGGAATTATATTTTTATGTTTTTTGTTGTAGAATGAACCATAGTTTTATACGAAATTAGCGGAAAAATATTAGAATTAAAATTGTGCATATATTGTGAAAATTTTGCTGTGCCAATACTTTGTTCCGCCAGTGTACATACATACTTTTGATGAATTTCCATTAATATGCGATATACAGATGCAATCATTTAATTAGCACCGAAATTCTAAATGATATTATTTGCAACTTATGTTTATTTATTTATTTTTAATAATTTTCATAACCAAAAATTTTCTAAATATTCTAATTAAAAATTTGAAAATTTTGATGACAACTTTTTGAAATTTAATTATTGTTTTTTTTTTTTTTAATTTGTGCTAGCTTTAACGATTTTATTATGTGGTTTCTGTTATGGATTGAATTATATTTAAAATTAAAATTATTAAAAATAAATGAATACATAACATAATTTACAAACAATATAATTTTGAATTTCAGTGCCAATTAGTTGATCACATCTGCATGTATGTGCATACATATATATGTACATATATGAGTTCAATTCAACAGCTACTAGAACTTTTGGCAAAAAATAAATTTCTAAAATCCAGTGGAAGTTCGAGTAATTTTTGAAATAAAATATAACAAGTAATTTTTAGCAAAAAAAAACCGACTTCAACTCTCATATAAAAAAAAATATATATATATACCTCATGATCCGCTGATCGGATCTTAACCAGATTAGTATGGGACCACCTCTGAGACACTACCTTTCCGATGCACTACCTTATCGAAATCGGTTGTCGTGGTCCAAAGTTATGCGGTAACATACATAACTACGATCTTTAGATCGGAAGAAAAAAAAAATATTCCGATGAACTGATAACCTCCTCCTTTTTTTGGAAGTCGGTTAAAAATAAACAAAGAAAAATTAGGGCATTGTTTTTTTCAAGCATATAGCTACATACATATATGTATATGTATGTACATATTTACATAAGTTGACACATAACAACGACAACGTTATAGCCAAACGCTGAATTAGCAGGTGAACAGGGAACTCCAAAGAATCTCACGCTCAAGCAAATATGTAGCTGCTAGCGTAAACCGATACCACCTATGTATTTATGGCAAGCTCTTATTCAGCACGCAGAGTCAAGCGTCTGTTGGCGAATAAACAATAACTGTCCGTTTCAAGGTCATGAAGGTTAGGAATTCAGGTGCAGTCACCGCACAGTGATGCTCACCTATATAGCACACATTTATTTTTTACAATATTCACAATGTTTTACGTGATATATATATTTTTTGTTAATTTTTTATAAAAATATAGTCGATTATGTAATATAAACCATAGAGGTCAAAATTTAAAAATTTGTGTACAGTTCAGGAAAATTTAACGAATTTCAAAAAATGTCATACAAAATTTAAATTTTTTTCAGAATGGTATGCAGTTTTGTAGCCCATTCAATTTTAGTATAATAATGTGCAGGTGTGAAAATTCTGAAAAATCCCGTTGATTTTTGAGATTTTTTTTTTTTATCGAAGGTGTTGCGCATTTTCTCCCATATAACGCATGAACAAAATCTATTTTTATATGGAAGAAAATAAGCAACACTAAAAATTTTTATGACATTTTTTTTTTGAAATTAGTTACATTTTCCTGAACTGTACACAAAGTTTTAAACTTTGACTTATATGGTTTATGTTTTAGAATTCACTATATTTTTATAAAAAATTAACGACAAAAAAAGCACCACGTAAACCATTAAGGGTATTCAGACTATACTCGTTAAGGTCTTAATTCGGTATTCGGTAACTCCAGGCATTGTTTTGTTTTTTTTGTAAATTACCTAATATATCATTACCAACCTAACGAGGTGGCAAGTCTGATGATGTGGTAACACACGCGTTAAAATGTCAGCTGATTTCCTTCTGTCACGTAATTGCTGAAATTTTCTCGCGCAGAAAGGGCATATAAAGTTCAAAAGTTCAATAAATCATTCTGTCGTGCAATTAATAAATGTTTATAAATAAAAGAACTTCGCGTCAGCTGATTCGAAAGCAATTTTAACCAGAAAAAGAATAAGGGGCGTTCGCTGTTGAAAGTGTTACCGAGTTACCAAATAACGAATTAATACACTAACGAGTATTGTCTGAACGCCGTTATTGTGAATATTGTAAAAAAATAAAAGTGTGCTATTTAGGTGAGCGGCACTGTACTTAGTCCCTTTAGGCTTTAGGGGTATTTTTAACTAATATTGTTTGTTTTTTAAGTAAACATTTAATTTTAAATAACATAATTAATGTTTGGCTTTTTATGAAAATTGCTCCAATCCAATCCAGCTTAATTTAACTTATCCAGATATTTAAATAATTTCATAATTATTGTAAGGCGGTCAAAAAGTTAAATTTCACAGGGCTACGTAATTTACAGACTCTACTGAAGTAATACATTCCCATATTTTCTGGATTTTTGCTTCAGCCCTTACAGCATGGAAAGACGGCAAGGTTTATCCGGATTAGAGGCCATTCAAGTATTACGTAAGCAGAGTTTTAGTAACTTTGGTTTACTTATTTTAGTTGCACATTTCGTCCAAATTCTGCGCCATTGTACAGACGATATTTTAAAATATTTTATATGCAGGCAATTTGAAGACGTAACAATGTAACTTTTTTTGCATTTAATGCAATATTTTTTTTTAATTTTGGAAACATTATTATTTTTTTGAACAGGCATACTAGTGAAGAGGAATTTGTGTATAGGCAACAATCGGTTTAAACGAATTTCTAGCCATTTGAGGGGAGATATGTTTTTAATTGATAAAGGAGTTCAACACAATATCCCCAACGAAAATACATATGTCAGTCCTGTCAAGTCATAACGTTTGCTAAGTTCAGCTTAATCAACCGTAACAATTCGCATAGCAATTTTAATTGCAAATTCAGCGATGTTTACCTAATCATAAATTGCATCCTTGATATCCTTTATAATTGATACAATGCAAGATTACTCATGCGTGAAATGTGTGTTTTAATTAATTAATTTAAATCAATAAAATTATGTACATACTTATCTATGTACATATGTGTATATATATAATGGTATATACCCCGCAAACATATTCGGCGAAATTACAGCATGTAAGAAAAATATGGCATTCAAAAGCAAAAATTTGTTTGCTCATGTGGGCCAAAATTTAACCAAAAATTCCGCTACCCGAAAATTCGAACCTCGAATCTCTCGAAGGGCAATGCAATGCTTTGCTCACCCGGCCATTGCGCCTGTTGGAGTAGCGCGAGCAAAATACTCAAGTGCATACTGTCAAAAGAGCTTTACACCATGAAACTTGGCAAGGGAGCTTTGTTTTTTGTACGACTTTCGAAAATATTTGCTAGAATTACCCTGTTAATTTTCAAACCGGACATTTTTTTTTTGTTGCAAATATAGACTATACGCTTTCTTTTTCATTAAAATTTAGGCTGACATTATCTTCGTAGAAATATTTAAAAGGTCATTGTGAGTTATGTTAGGTAATTATGTATGAAGTTTCCATAAACAAAAATTACAGCTTATTTTTGTTTATTTTTATTTGTATTCATGGCCGCCAAAGCCTTTTTAGAATTTTGATCGTTCAGTAGCAATGTCATTTAACAATTTTGGTCACCTGAGGCCAACAACTTATTTTTGTTCTTTTTTGTTTCTTAGTGCCTAAAAATAAGTTTTGACTACTCGCGACTTTATTTTGGTCCCTAATTTTGCAGTTATAACAGTTTTTTTGTGTCGCACATTTACCATTAAAATACCATTAAAAATACACAGCGGCCATGGGAAATACACCAAAATGTTCACCACAGGCCAGAGAATCCAAATTCCATGTAAAATTCCATATTAAAATGTACGAAAATGTGCGACGTGGCCTCAGGATAACATTTAGGTGTCGCACCAAAATGTGCGACGTGGCAGCCAACGTGTGAATGAAATATAGTCGTTTAGCAAGAGCTTATTACTGAAATGGGGATAGTTAAGA